ATCTGTGTAGATGACCAACTTCCTAGTAAAAGATCCAAAAAAAGCCTACTGAGCTAACTCCATGCTTATGATCTGACCATCCAACGCATCTAGCCTAGCAGAAGTAAGACTATAATGCTCTCACTTGGCACTGGCTCTCCATTAATCTACTTACCCTTGATCAATCTGCGTAAATGACCAACTCTCATGGTAAGAGATCCAAACAAACCTTGCTGAGCTAACCCCATGCTCATGATCCAACCATCCAATGCATCTAGCCTAACAGAAGTAAGACTACAATGTTCCTCCATGCGTTGTTGCATCCCCATAAGTATATCAACAATCGATGTAAATTGGGCAACAATGATAACAAAATTGGGCTCATATGTGGTGATGGTGTCCTACATGTACCAGTCTCAGGATGAACTACTGGATCTCCTAGAGCTTCTTCTCTCTCCTCAACATTGTGAACCCGGGCCTTGCTTAATTCCATAGAAATCTTGTTCAAAGGCCTCATATGGTTCTATAAGTAGTCACTAGTTAGAACTGCAACACCCTTCCCTTGACAAATATGAGTAATCATGGGAAAAGGCAATATATTTGACCCTCATCACTTTAAAAAGGCTCTACAAATACACCCAAAAATAAATATAGGTAGATCAAGACCAAACCCTTTACCTATGACAGAAAACATATGAGCTTTAGGAACTAGGAAGTCAAAAACATAGGTATTCAAGTCAATATTGTAGTTTTCTATGAGATTAAGATCTTCTACTATAAGGTCAATGATTTTTGAAAGATTTTTTGAGTGAACTAGTGTTCTGGATGATCAATACCATATAACTTAGAAGCAACTATATAAAGAGGAGGTAATAAGACAACAAGTTCTGCACTAAGGTAATCATTCTCAACCCTAGGTAGATTCAGTGTGATAGCAATGGGGTCTGTAGAAAAGCTAAACTTGATACCTCTAATATAGATGACAAGGTGTCAATATGAGGATTGGGTCCATTAATTGAAATATGAGCATAGAATTCCCTGACAATGCTATCATTCGATGTCATGGGGTCATTGAACATCTAAGTCCATCCATATTTTGTCAGATTAGTAACAAATAGAACTAGTTACCTTTGTGGCGGTTATTCCTCATTCGATCCACACTAGCCTACAAGAGAATTCCCATTTGAATCTTTCTACGAACTCTAGTGTCATGACTTGAGTAGCTTTGTTGACGTTCTCCTTGATTTCCTCATAGACATCCTCAACCCAAGGTCGTTTCTCTCTTCGCAGTGCCATCTCAACACTCACTTTAAGAATCTAGGTCTCACAGATGTGGACTTGTGGAAGAATGAAGAATCAAGTGTAGATCTCTAAAGAATGTTTTTGTGAGATTTTAGAAACCAAGGGTTAGAGTTTTTGGAGCTTTAGGATGTGAATGAGTGATTTTAGAATACAAGAAGTCTTTTAAAACTCACTTTTGTAAACCTGGCTGCCAACTCCCTCGAGGTTGCTCGAGTAGTGAAACGACTGATTGAGCGATTCCTGAAATATTGACAGATTAGCCTTAGATCCTTATTGGACCAATCCCGTTCCAACATTCACTCATTTAGCCTATCCTTCAAACCTCAACATGCATGATACACACACACACACACACACATATAAACTCCAAACGTGATTCAATGCAATGCATGAATGAATTTGGATCACAAATGATGAATTTTTGAATTTTAAACATTAAATGCTCAAATTTTAGATAATCATAAAAATTTCATAAATTCACATTTTAATAGATCCATCCAAAATTTATCATCTCAATACATTACTCTAAGGCATATTCAAAGATACTAAACTCAATTTTATGCATCATAGAGCAATGTTTCCTCTTTTGGTTCAATTTCACTCATGCCTATTCAAATTTTGTTCAACTTTGAATAATTCAAGTACATCGTGTGTGAAATCAACCTCAAATACAAAAATAATTCCAATTAGATTAAATCATTAATAAGATCATCATGAAATCCTAATGCATTGTCTAATTGAATACATGACCAGTTAGTGAATGACCTAGATATCCTCTTTTTTTTGACAACGCACCCTCTCTTTTATCCCTTCTACTCTATAGCTTCAATCAACATGATTATGAATTCCATACTTTTAATTTATACTTCTAATTATGGTTAACATGAGTTCTATTAGCTTTACAAATGAGAAATTTACAAACAAGCATAAGTACTCTCACAATTCAAATGTAATTATTTTTAGCCATTTATTTATGCCTCACCTTTTTAGATTTGGCCACATTGGGCACTTTTCTCACAATTGGCCTTTGACATCTTTTAAGTGATTGGGGTTTAATTAACGTTTAACCATGTGTTCACCTATCACCAACACTTAGAGTCATTTAATATCATTAATATTTCAAACTAATCAAACTCCTAAGTGTGAAGATGAATGACACGCGTGACCTTAGTTTTTGAATTTTTTAAAGGTAAACACTATCCAAGCATGCTAAGATGACATAATCTTTGGCTAATTAATCATGCAATAAGATTTATACCACTAAGTTCTATATCCCATAATATGACTCATAGCAATGCACATTTCAACTTATATTTAGGGATGAAATCATTACAATGTAAACCAAAGTATGCATTCCCATGATCATGAAACAAAGAAAAACAAATAGAAGAAAACCTTTTTGAAATTTTCTTTTCAATAATTTTGAATTTTTCAAGATAAACATCTACAAAGAAAAAAATATGCATGAAGATGCATCAAAACAATGAAAATCAAAATAAAGCTATTACCATAAATCCTAGAAATGAATGTCAAACTTGACATTAAAACTCTTTTTGGATTTTACTATTTCTTTTATTTTTGGTTTTTCAAATTTCAAAATTTTTTGTAGAAAAAAAAATGACAAAATAGCAAAGAAAGAAACAAAATATGTACAAACAAAGTATGACCCTAGGGTGTTTGATGCAATGCATGTGTGATCACCTAGGTTCGTAGTATCTCACATCTCCTATTTTTTTGGAGCCATGATCTTGTTAGAAGCACTCAGGGGACTTTAACTTGGTTGAGATGGTGAGTTTCTCAAAGTCCTCTCTAATCACCCACACTTGTTTTCCTTTCTTAAAAGTCAGGTTAGGTCGGGGAATGGGTGGAGGACTAGCTCTCTTCTCCTCGAAGGAATGTAGATCAATTTTGATCTTAGGGGTACAAGAAGCTTTGGACACTCTAGCATGTAGTCCATTTGAAGATGGTGCGCGACTATGCTTGGACACATTTTCCCTTTCTAAATGTTTGGAAAGATTTACAACTTCGTTGTTCAAGGCTTTAGATTGATTAGCTAGATGCATGAACTTTTTATCTTAGACTTCTTGATTATGAATGCAATGTCCACTATAGTGACCATGCTCTGCACAAGTAAAACACACAAATGATTTGGTTTGGTAATCCTTTTAACTGGCTTCTTTTCATGCTTACCATTACCATTCTTAGTCTTTTTAAGACCTTTGCTTACTTGTGGGGGTGGATGTCATACCTCACCTGAAGATAGTACTTATAGCCCACTCCAGTAGGGTTGACCCTACTCCTTTAGCATAACTTTTAACCTACACATTATTATAATGAACTCATAATACAAACACTTGCAAGGTGCATAAACATATAATAGCTTTCATACAAATAAATAATTCACGTTGCACACTATCTACTCAAATTTCCAACTTTGACTTGATTTTTTAAAAATATATACATGGCACCCATGTACACAAAATGGTTTACATAAGACTCAGAGATCCAATTATTCCCCATTAACTATCTAGACCCAACAGTGAACATTCCTCTTGACTCGGCTACCTAAAAATTCAAAACTATGGAGGGGTGAGCACCACACGCTCAGTGAATGTACACAACCATATAATGGACAATGATGAAAATATACTTTGCATGCTATCACCATCGCAATATAATAAATAGAATACCACCAAAGGAAACCATTATATATACATACTTCACAATATCAACATTATTTCATCAAAGTAAAATGAAAAACCACTCATAAGCCATCATATATGGCATTCAATCATATATATCCGCACTAAGGCTAAAAATTTACCTTTAAGGCATATTCATCACATGGGCTATTCATTTGCCTTTAAGGTTATTTAGCACAACACAATGCGATCACAAGTCATTAAGACGATATATGTATGTTCACCAATAGAGTTATTTGACATGTTTATAATGTCATAATCAACCAAAATTCCTCACAGTTGTGCATCAATAATAAATAAACAATCCTTTGCTATAATCAATTATATGAAATAGCACACTTGCTTGGAATTCGACTTTAACTCAGATTTAGTCCCCCGATAAAACTTTAAGTGTATAGGACATTGACGTCGTCAATTCCACCCAATGTTATCAGAACCGGACCGGTCATCGAACCGGCTAAAGAATTGGGTCAATGGTTCACTGGTTCAACCGGTGGGTCAACTGGTCATATAATAAAAAAATATATAATAATTATAAAACATAATAATTTAGCTAAAAAATATAAAATATGTCTAAAATACATACAATTTGTCATAAAATTAATGAAGTTAAGTAAAAGAAACACCTATGCCAAATATCAGAGTTGAACTTTAAAGCTCCAATCCAAGTACATAACAGAAAAAAATCCTAAAGCCCAAACCACAATCCCTACTGAAGTTAAAAGTTTACATAAGAACACATCATCCAAATTAAAAGTAAACATAAGTTGCAAATCTCAAACACAGTTTCAACATTTAGTTTTATTAAATTGTGTGACAAGCAAATATTCAAACTAATGAAATCAAAACCAATGAAATCCAGTGTGATAGAAGCACCGACCATTTTTGTTTACAATCATATATGCAACACTGACCATTTAATATTTACTCAAAACCAATGAAATCAACTACCCAAATTGAAATAGTGGATTTTAGTTTTTGTTACTAAGATATGAACTAATGAAAGGAAGTTTTTACCTTAATTTACAGTCTGATAAAAGCAGTAAGCATTGATCGAAGTCGTTGGAGTTCCTCATCGGTCGCTTGAGTTTGCTGATCACAGTCGCCTGATATCGCTGGTCACCTCGCTTGGTCGCTGATTGAAGTGGCTGATCACAGTCGAAGATCCCTGGTCGATGGAGTAGTGGTTGATTGCAGTCGAAGAGTCCCTGGTCGCTGGAGCCTGGTGGTGGTGGTGCCTTCTGTGATTTACTGATTTTGGGCAAAAAAAAAAAAAGAAGCTCCAAATACAAAAAGATACTGATTTAATTTATTTATGTAATTTAATTTTTAAATGGGCAGTAAAGCATCCAATTTATATAAAATTTCCGGTTCACGATTTTTGTTAAAAATCGGTTGATTTTTCAGTTTTTAGCCAGTTCGCTTCCTTAAGCAGTTCAACTAAGGAACTGAACCAGTTAGGATCCTGATTCACGGTTGAACCGGTCTGACCAACCAGTCCAGTCCGGTTCTGATAACAGTGCTTCCACCCCTACCATATATCATAACAATTTCATATGAATATTCCTTCTATAAACATTTATGTTTTTGACACATGTATGCATTTTGGAATTGACACATTTCCCAAAACCTTTCCCAAGTGATGTGACATAAACAATTGAAGTCGTTGCTTGCTAACTACCCGACTCAAAAGGAGTTGTTTTGAACTATATTGGATGGCTTTTGAAGTTTAAAGAATGAGAGAACAAGGCATCGAAGAGATTGCGGCCAAACATGGAAAATTCAACAAGGTTGTATCAGTACAAGTTGTATCGGTACAACTATTGTACCAATTATTCACAGGGTAGAGAGCCTTTGTGTCAGTACAATACTGTGATGTACTGGTTCTTCCCTGAACTGATGCCACGAAAATGGTTTCCAACCTTTCCTTTTACCATTTTTTCCACTCTCCATCCCTTTTAAACATTTAATAACTCATACCTTAGAACATAAGAGCTCAAAAAAATTTCTAATTTAAAGTATAAAGGATTACCCACAAGAAGTTCTTCTCCGCCGAAGCTTTGCCAAAATTTCCAAGTGGAACAAACTTTAAAACCTTGAAGCTTCAATTCTTGGCAAGGCACCCCAAGAGCCTGAACTCAACTAAGATTATGGAGATTTGAGGAGGTTATGGAGTTTACAGAAAGGAAGAGATTGCATTGTTCCAAGAGTAGGACCTCTTCTAACTTTATGCCAGATTCACCACCCGAAATTAAAGTGCTCCTCCAAAGTTCTTCAACTCTTTTCCCAAGCTAGACAAAACAAGAGGAAGCTCCAGCAGCCTAAGTCTTCCACCAAGAATATTTGGCTAGAAAGCTTTTAGGTGTGACATGTGTGTTGAAGGACTCATCCCCTTGGATAAATACCCATTAACCCTCCTATTTCCCCCTTATACTCATATTCTACACTTAATTACCACCCTTTAACTAATCACACTCCTCACTTTGCCAATTTAATAATTAGACCTTAAAAATTGTTATCTGGATTCATAATTTTTTCCCATGTTCTTAATAATTACAAATTTTATCCTATAGTTAATTTTAACAAATCACACTTCAATCGCCAACATTAAATAAAATACTATGAGATTCTTGTTTAGATCTCACTATGGAGTATTGGGATTACCCTTCACAAACACAATCTTGGAGGTAGTGGGGCTGGTGTTTTCATTTTCATAGCCAAGGCCTCTCTTGTTACTCACACTCTTCCCTATTGCCAATATTTTATCAAGTTTTTACGTGATTTGAAAGTCTTTTTGAGAGCTCTTGTGATTTGTAAAGGTCCCTATCAAGCTTGACGAGCTTAAAATCAAGACCCTTCTTAGACTTTAAAAGCCCTTTGTGCTCTCTCTCAAGGAAACTCACCTTTTCATGGAGGGACTTTTTTCTCCTCCTCAAGCCCAACAATATATGCTTTGGACTTAACTAAGTCCACATGAAGTTCCTTCTTCTCATCTTCACTACTTTTTAGCCTCGTGCTCAATAACAACAATTTATTTCCTTGTTTTAGACACTCCTTGTATAACGCACTCTAAGCATTTTGGAGGTCCTTAACACTTAATCCCATCCTCACTAGTTGAGACTTCTATAACTAAGTCATCTTAATTCGTAGTGGGACTTGACTCAACTTCCTTATCTTTATTCATGGAAGTTTCTTGTGGGGGAGGGGACAAGAGTGTGAACCTACAAAGGCTGTGAAACTATCTTCATCACTTGAAGAAGAGGAGTCAACACTTGTTGTGATTTGTGCTTTCACTCACCTTAGCCTTTAAGTCTCTTATCCTCTCCTTGGGTGTGTCCTTCTTCTTATCATTTGGACATTTCACAGCTATACGTCCAAACCCATGACACTCATAACATTAGAGAACTTACCCATTCTTCTCAACTTCATGTCAAGAATGTTTGCCCCCACTCTCTTTTCCCTTTCTAGGAGACTTGGTTCTATTTGGATTTCCTTTTGACCTCAGAGACTCGACACCACAAGCCTTAAAATATTTATTGAATTTTCTTGCAAGATAGGCTATGCCATTGTCTCCCAAATGGGGTCACTTGGATTTACCCCCTTCTTTAATTTTTAAATTTAAAGCAACACCCTTCACTTTCTTGGGTGAAAAAAGGTTCATCTCGAAAGTCAAAATTAACCTTACTAGGTCTTTGACCGATATTGTGGCCTTATTGACACTTATCTCAAGCGAGGTCACCTTTCCAAGAAATCTCTCTAATAGAGATCTCAAGATTTTCCATTGATGGCGGCATTGTAGATCTTAATACCTAATGCAAAGAAAGAATAAAAAATATCACATAACTTGGCATAAAAATCACCAAACGCTTCTTCCTCTTGCATCCTTAACATCTCAAATTATGAGGTGTACCTTTAAAGACGGGACATCTTGACCATTGTAGTTCCTTCGTGTGAAAGCACAAGTATATCCCGTGCCTCATTTGAAGTTTCACAATTTGAAATTATTCGGACTTATTGGGTGTCAAGGTATTGAATATTACATTCAAGCTTTTTGAGATCCTCGTTGCTGATTCGATCTCAATTCTCAAACATGTCATTGGGGATTTCAATTCAACCATTGCTTCAAAACCATCAACTTGCATGGTGGCAGTGGGAGGGCTTCAACTATGACGCCCCAAAATTCGGGGGTACTTTTTCAATCCGTTGATCACCTATCAACTGGCGGAAGTACTTGTGTATGTCGTGTAACGCAACACCACGTCATTATATCCCATTTACTAGGATAGTAACCATAACGGAGTTTGGGCAGAGTCTCCTTTGTACCGGAGCACTACCCAACACATAACCTATTATTCTTTAATCGTTTGACCATTCCAAGGTCTAATCCCATCAATTAGCACTTAATATTTAACCAATTACATCATATAAATAAGAGGGCTCAAGGTTTGAGGGCTTGGCAAAGTTGTATTTAAATTTTAAAAATTTTGGAAGAGGTATTGGTATCTCTTACTCTTGGTACCTGTACCTGAGCCTTCTGTTTGCTAGGTTCCTTCCTTTTGCCAAGACCGGTACCATAGTGAACTTGGTACCGGTAACTGAGCTTACTGTTTGCTAGGTACCGGGACCTATATATCGTGCTACTGGTACCTAAGCCCACTGTCCATCGGGGTATAGATACCTGAAGCCTTGGTATCGGTACCTAAGCCCACTGGAATCTAGATACTGGTACCCATAAGTCTAAGTACTAGTACTATAAAATCTAGAAAAATTTGAACTTTTATAAAAAAAGGTAAAATGGTAATTAGTGCTTGACATGAATAGTGGAGATGTGTAAGGACCCATGAGAGCTTTAGTGTCAATCCTTGTTGGAGGGAACTTACATTTACTCAAGGAACAATTTTTCAAATTTCAAATTTGTTCAATAATCTTATTATGCTTGTTTTAGTTAGATGCATTTGGGTAGTTGATTGACTTTGTCTTGAAATGCAATATGCTCTCCTATGCCTATCTAGAAATGATCTTAGGTCATCCTTGAATTACTTTGAGCCTTAGCCTTTTTCTTGTTAAAAGTTTATCCCTAGTGCCGTGATTGAGCTTTAATTGTAAATTTGGTTCTATGCCACACATTTGACCAAGCCAGTGCAAAATGATAAAAATCTACCACACCTTGGTTGTTCCTAAGAGCTGAATATGAGTGATCATAAAAGAGAAGGAATTGTAGTGCGAAAACTCAACCAAAGGGATGAATGAATTTGAATTTAAAGAGTTGAACAGAAAAGAATGAAAATCCACGAAAAAGAGAAAAAAGAGGGTGAAAAGAAGAAAGAATGATCAAAGAAAAAGGAAAATGTTAAGGAAAAGAAAGAAAAAAAAAAAATAAAGAGTGAAGTGATGGTATAGACTGAAAATCCCATAAAAAGGCATATCTTTTTGAAACAAATGTCGTGCACTTGGAACAACCCTCTTTGTTATCCTACATCCTTCATTTCATTTGCCTCAAATCACCCCAAGGCCCCATTATAACCCTTGAAAGTCCTAAATGATCTAGAGAAATCATGGGGATAACATATTTTTTAAGAAAAAGAAAGGTTAATTTTGCTATCTAATGCCCTAACATTCCTTTCATGAGATTATGCCAAGGTTGTTTTATTCTTATGCATGTACTTCATTTTTGGATTATATGTGAGCATACTTTGTTTTGTGCACAAGATTCTATCTCACATATACACATAGAGAGCATGTCAAGATAACCATAGTGTGATTCATTGTTGAGAGACACCCTTGGTGAGGTTGCATCAAAGCTTAATTTAGATAGCCAAAGTGAATGTGAATTTCGTTGTGTAAATGCTTAAATTACATGTTGATTAGCACAAAATATTGCACATCATTTACACATTTGCACCCATTTTAGACTTGTTTTTGTGGTAAATATGGGAGGAATTGTAATATTTCTACAATTAATGAGGTTTCAGTATGTTTGCAGGCAAATAGTTGGAAATGGCGCGAGTTAGGCCCCCATCGTAGTGCTTAAAGTCAATGGAGATAAAGGGGAGGCTTAACGATGGCATAGAAGGTGAAAAGACAAAGATTTGAGCAAAACAAGTAAAAACCAACCGGTAGGTTTGTTCATAAAACTACCAGTAGGTTTTGTCTACAGGAGTTGGTTCTACAGCAAACCTTCCGGAAGGTTTTGACTACAGGAGTAAAACCTACCAGTAGGTTTGGCCATTGATCTACTGGTAGGTTTTGCT